GTGAGCTAGGGATAAACATCTGGGAGTTCAGGCACATAGGTGACATTTGAAGCCCTCAAACTAGAGGAGATCACTAAAAACAGGGCTCCTTCTATGTTTCAGGCTGTGTTTAGTCCCTGGAGATATAGGTATAATTTAAAAATTGTCTTCAAGGTTTAAGGAGGGAGGCAGTTGTAAACTGTTAAAGCAATATAAAAATATATGAATATAAATACACATAAAGTGCAGATGATCCCGTGAGGCCAAATCTGAGTCATCTTAAACTCACCCTCAAACTTGCTTGTTCAGTGGTCTGACCATGAGACACACACAGAAGAAAGCCAGACTGTGGTACCTTTAGTGTCAGCTGGTTTCTCCATTAACCCCCTGTGCCCAGCAAGTTTCCAGTGATATTAAAGAACCTTACTGGTGACACTTCTGCATGGATTGCAAGGTTCCTCAGTATTTGGCCTTTGCCTTATCTCTTGTTTTACTTCCTTAGACCTGTCCCTGGGGTTGGAGATGATCAGTATTGTATCTTTGAAACACCACTTTGGCTGTCGATTGAAGGACGAATTTGAAGAAAGAACAGAATAGGCATAAGTAACATTAGCTTGCTATTTCTTTGCGTCGTCTGCTTTCACATTGATGTTAGTGACTTATAGAGACCTGTAGGGTAGGAAAGACTCAGCAGATCTGCAGAAATACAAAGTATATATTGCTGTGCTAGAACATGCAAATTTGGGGATTAGGAAAAAATTTCTACTAAATGCATGCAGTTGAAAACTCTACACTTTTCTCTCCTGTAGGTCATATTAAAAGGAAACCTGTACGGTGGTTTCTCAAAAAATTAAACATAGAATTATCATAGGATCCACCAGTTTTACTCCTGGATATATAAAAGAAAATAAGAGATATTTGTATATCAGTGTTCAAGGCAGCATTATTCATTCATAATAGCTAAAAGGTGGAATCAACCCAGATATCCATGGAATGATGGGAGGGATGAATAGATAAATAAATGTGGTATGTACATACAATGGAATATTATTTAGCCTTTGAAAGGAAAGAAATTCTGACATATGCTATAACATGGATGAGCCCTGGAGACATGTTAAAGAAGCCAGACACAGAAAGACAAATGTTATATGATTCCACTTACATGAGGTACCTAGAATAGTCAAATCATAGAGGTAGAAAGTAGAGTTTCTCAGGGGCCATATTGTTTAATGGTACTGAGTTTCAGTTTGAGATGCTAAAAAAGTTTTGAAGAAAGGATAGTGGCGATTGTTGCACAACAGTGTGAATATACTTAATGCCATTGAACTGTACAGTGAAAAATGGTTAAAATGATAAATTTTGTGTTATGTATATTTTACCACAATACAAAAAAGAACCTAGAAAGCGAAAGACCTAGAAATAATTGCTGCTGTAAGAAAGATAAAGAAAGATTTCTACATACTAGCATTGATGGATTGAGGGATCAGTTGAGGGATTTCTGATATTGAGGGATTTCTAAGATAGATTATGCTAAGAAAAAGTTAAGTGCTATCTTTTGAGTAAATAAGGACAGATTAAAAATATGTATTCCATTTGCTTTATTTCCATAAAGAAACACTGGAAGGATTAATTAATAAAAGTTGTTAATTCCAGCAGGCAAGAGGGACTAGGGTCACTAAGGGCAGGAGTGGTAATGAGGTATCTTTTAAGTACTTTTGATTTTTGGATTGTATTACCTATTCAAAATAATGTTGAAATATGGGAGTTAAAGTGGCTTCATTGTAGAGGGATCACCAGTTTGTAGTCACAGAAAACATAATTTTTTAGAGATATTGATAAAATATTGCTACATGTGATATCCCCTCCCCCATACAAGTCAGAGCCTGGTTTAGATGCAGAAGTGAGTCTCACTTTCCCTTCCACTGCAGGCAACAAAGAACGTATTTTGGGTAGAGACATAATAAAGCCAAACTTTCTAAGTTCATCAGTATTGAGAGAAAGAGAGGGTAACAAGGCATTGCACCTGCAGTGAGGCTTCTTACCAGTGTCCAAGCGCTTGAAGGTTGACCATGGCAAGTGGGGTCATTAAATGTATTAACCCACTGAGTCTGGGAGCCTAAAATATTCAAAAGCAGGAAACTGGATATAGCTCTGCATCCCTCCAAAATGCCACTTTCTCTGATTCAGTCATTAATTAGGAGCCTGTTTTGTCTAATATTTGCATCTGACGCAAGAAGCAGGGTTGTTTAACATTTCTGAGGCAGAGGGAACAGATAGTAGCTGATAGCTGAGCGCCCATTTAATCGCCCTCCTCTCTCCCTCCCCACCAAGGGAGTAGGACTATTATATCTTCCCCGGATATTTCCTTCCAGCTCCTCCTTCTACCTAGATCCGATAGGAAATACGGATAGAATCCTGAGGCAGACTGTGAAAAGTAGACGGCTGTCTAGGCAGCTCAGCCCATCCTAACTCTGTTTCGGGGCATGTGGTTTGAGGGAGAACCCAAGGAGTCATATCTGGGAACCACGCCCAGATTAGAGCTGGTAGAGCACCTTCCAGGAAGGTGGTCAAAGTTCAGGTGAAGAGAAAGAGCTGAAGTACAGAGCCAAAATAATAGAATTGAAGAACTGGGAAACCTGACGTCAAAAGTAGTGAAGAATTAGGCAGCTGGGAAGTAATTTATAAGAGTTCCAGAGATGGAGTTCACACGATTTTTACAGAATTCCAGCACAGGCATGCAAGGTATACTTTACTCATTTAAAGTTATTAGAATGGGTAGGCAATTCATTTTTCTCTTGTCTCGTTGATCTGTTTATATGTCTGTCTTGCCCAGTACACTGTAGGAATTGAAGACAAGGACTTCAGCCATAATGGAAAAAGCATGGACTTTGGAATTAGGCAGATCTATTTAAATCCGAACCTCTTCTCTTTCTAGGTGTTTGATATTAGTCAAGTTATTTTTATTACACTGGACTTCAGGTTCCATGTACATCATAGGGTAGTTGTAAGAATTAAATGAGAGAAAAACGTGCATGTGTGTGTGTGTGTGTGTGTGTGTGTGTGTAATCATCTTACAAAGTATTCAGTAGAAATGTTGCTCCCTCTCCCTTTTTGTATCTGCCACAGAGTTTTATATTTAAAAGACATTCAGGGGCACCTCGGTGGCTCAGTCAGTTGAGTGTCCAACTCTTGATTTCTGCTTGGGTCAGGATCCCAGGGTTGTGGGATCGAGCCCTGTGTCAGGCTCAGCACTGAGTATGGAGCCTGCTTAGAATTTTCTCTCTCCCTCTGCCCCTGCCCCCGCTCACATGCACACACTCTCTCTCTTTCTCTCAAATAAAATACAAAATAAATAAAAGACTGGGGCGCCTGGGTGGCTCAGTCGGTTAAGCGTCCGATTTTGGCTCAGGTCATGATCTTACTGTTCGTGAGTTCGAGCCCCACGTCGGGTTCTGAGCTGACAGCTGGGAGCCCGGAGCCTACTTTGGATTCTGTGTCTCCCTTTCTCTCTGCCCCTCCCCCATTCATGCTCTGTCTCTCTCTGTCTCTCAAAACTGAATAAAGGTTAAAAAAAAATTAAAAAAATAAAAGACATTCAAAATATCAAATTGAATATGTTTGTGTTAAATCTGAACCCTGGTTAAGGACAGCCTGTGGCAGGCATGCTTATAGGCTTTCATCTTGGACAGATAAAGTTATTGTTGCTGAATATTTTATCAGGCAACTGCCTGTTAAGTGCCAGGTGCTAAGTTTTCACTTGCTGATCCGGTCTATCTTTTTATGATTTCCTTGTTTATCATGGTGCAGCTTCTACTCTGTGCGGGCTTATCCTTTCTCTATTTATAGGACCTCTTCTCCACACCAATTGTTTTTTTTTTTTAATCAGTGGGTATGAGAGATTATCTTATACTCACTGCTTTCGTAAAAAAAAACCTCAACCACATGCTCTAGTGTAGGGATTGTCAAATATCTTTCCTTCTTTTGTCAAATATTTATTGAGCACATACTGTGTTAGAGTAGATATAGATAGTATTAATATGTGGTTCCTGTCCCCCAACAGTAAAAAAGATAGGCACATTCCAAAATATATTTAATCATTCAGTGATAAGATATTACTTTTGTTTACCATTTTACATATTACTGCTTAAAATGATCCCATTTTGGGGCGCCTGGGTGGCGCAGTCGGTTAAGCGTCCGACTTCAGCTCAGGTCACGATCTCCCGGTCCGTGAGTTCGAGCCCTGCGTCGGGCTCTGGGCTGATGGCTCAGAGCCTGGAGCCTGTTTCTGATTCTTTGTCTCCCTCTCTCTCTGCCCCTCCCCCGTTCATGCTCTGTCTCTCTCTGTCCCAAAAAAATAAATAAACGTTTAAAAAAAAAAAAAAGATCCCATTTTATTTTATTTATTTTAAAATGTTTATTTACTTATTTTGACAGAGAGATCATGAACATGAGCAGGGGAGGGGCAGAGAGAAAGGGAGAGAGAGAATCCCAAGTAGGTTCCACGCTGCAGGGCTTAATCTCACAACCTTGAGATCATGACTTGAGCTGAAATCAAGAGTCAGGTGCTCAAACTGAACCACCCAGGCGACCCAAAGTGATCCCACTTAGGAACATACACATACACATAGAAAAAGAACCGAAGGATATGCACCAAGGTGTTGACAGAACTTATCTCTGAGTAGGGGTATTTTTTTTTTTTAATGTTTATCTATTTGTTTTGAGAGAGAGAGCACACACAAGTAGGAAGGGGCAGAGAGAGGAGAGAGAATCTCAAGCAGGCTCTACACTGTCAGCACAAAGCCCGATGTGGGGCTTGAACCCAGGAACCGTGAGATCATGACCTGAGCCAAGATCAAGAGTCGGACAACCAGCTGAGCTTCCCAGGCGCCCCAGTAGGGGTTTTTTTTTTCCTTTTATTTTGCTTAAATTTTCAAAGATTTCACTTTCAACTTATAGAAAGTTCATCATTCCCCCCTCCTTGCTAGCAGGAGAGTGACCCCTCTTCTTTCTCTTGCATTCAGCTTTTGCGAGAATTGAAGCACCCTAATGTGATCGCATTGCAGAAGGTGTTCCTTTCTCACAGTGACAGGAAGGTGTGGCTGCTCTTTGATTATGCAGAACATGATTTGTGGGTAAGTTTAAATTCACTTTATTTTTAGGACTCTTCATCTAGGTATGGAGAAACAAATATATGCACTGCATATTACTAATGCACGTAAAACAAAACTTGCTCTGTTGAACAGAGTTCAAAATAAATATAATAAATGCAAATGCAATATAAAAAATAAAAATAAATAAATGAAAATGCAGATTTAAAAGAATTTGAGCAATGAACATTATCATGTTATTATACTGAGAAGATAGTATTTGTAATATTCAGAAATTTTACTTCAGAAAGTGTTAATGTGTATGAAACTGTGATTTTATGCAAGTAATTAATGGCAGTTTACTGATATGTGTAGTGAAAATGGCTTTCTCTTGTGGTACACACTGTAGTTCAAGTTTCACCAGTTATATACTTGTGAATACTTTCTCTAAGTTAAGGTCAATCTCTTGCAACATTTTGGCATTTAAAACCAACTCCACAAAATAGAGGTACATACATGGTTTTACAAATATTAGCCCCAAATTCCAATTCTAAAGTTTTTAAGTTGGGAATCAAGATGCTTAAACATTTTATCCAAGGAGTTGCTAAAAGTAAAAAAAAAAAAATCAAACTTGGCCGGAAGTTCAAATTTTGGGTAATTAAATTCTGACTTAACATAGTGCGGTTTGTCATCTACATAAAGTCACACATCTGTTTAGGAATAACTTTGACAGTCTTCTTGGTCTTTAAGGAGCTTTCAGAGTTTATGCTATTACAGCATATTGATAACAGTGTCCAGTGAATTTTTCTCCATTCTTTTCATGGATATTCATAAAAATGATGTTTTCCCCATTTCTCCGGGTCCTTTGTGGATTTGGATCCAAGAGTTACTTGATAATGTACGTACTTCACCTTGAACATCAGTGGTATAATGAAAGAACATGCAGTGCATTGGACTGATCGGGTCCTGTAGAACCATGTCGTTTGTAACATGATGGCCCTTAGCCACGTGTGCCTAGTGAGCACCTGAAGTGTAGCTGGTCTAAATTGAGATGTACTGTAAATATAAAATACGCACGGACTTTTGAAGACTTAGTATGAAAAAAAAAAATCTCATTAATATTTTTTATTTTGATTCTATGTTGCAATGATAATATTTTGAATAAGCTGGGTTAATTAAAATATACTACATTAATTTTACCTGTTTCTTTTTTTTTTTTTCTTTTGCTGTGGCTATAAAATGTTGAAAGTTATATATGTGTAGCTCCTATTATATATTTTCTGGATACTGCCCCTCCATATAAACCCTAATTTTCTATTAGTTCCTTAAATAAAGTACATGTTGTTAAACAGCTTATGAAAAAGCAAGAAAGCTCTGTTAATAGGTTAAAATTTTTCTATGCCATTTGGCCATGTTTAAGTTAGTGGAGCATTATTGACAGCTTTACCAGTGTTGTTCAATAGGGGTTTACATGACCTTTTTTTTTTTTTTTTAATTTTTTTTAATGTTTTTATTTATTTTTGAGACAGAGAGAGACAGAGCATAAGCAGGGGAGGGGCAGAGAGAGAGGGAGACACAGAATCTGAAGCAGGCTCCAGGCTCTGAGCTGTCAGCACAGAGCCTGATGCGGGGCTTGAACTCACGGGCTGTGAGATCATGACCTCAGCCAAAGTTGGTCGCTCAACCGACTGAGCCACGCAGGCGCCCCTACATGACCTTTAATACCCATCATGTTGTGTTTTGCACAGGGGTGAGGCAAAGATGGAGGTGGAGGTTTGGGGGACAGGTAGCATATCTTCCCTATCAAAATGATGTTATCATAACCTACAAAATAACATGTGGTCATAAAAATTTGAATATAGTGATCCAGTTGTATTTATTTCAATGAGGTTGAATTTCGCCTTGTTCTCTCCTTCCTCCTTTCTAATGATTTCCTATTTAATATTAACTACTAGGAATATATCCTAATTTCATCCTATGCCAAAAGAGGGTAGACTTTTGCAATAATTCAAATGTACACATAGTCAGTGACATTATACAGATTTACTAAGTGCTAACTTTTTATACAGTAGTAAAGATTTAAGGGCATGTAGCTGGCTCGGTTGGTAGAGCATGTAACTCTTGATCTCAGGGTCATGAGTTTGAGCCCCATGTGTGGCATGGAGTTTACTTAAAATAAAATATTTTAAAAAATATAGTAAAGAATTATAGAGTATTTTTTTCTTCTCTTTTAATCTTTCATTCTGTCAGTAGAGAATACAACTAATACTTTTTTTTTTTTTCAAAAAAAATACTAGTACTGTTTTTATGCAGTCTTTTAAGTATCAGTGCTTTTTACCTTTTGGTTCTATTTAATGAAAATCTTACTGGTTTCAGTAAATCTAGTTATTATACCCACAATAACATTGTCACACTCACCCCCAGTATAGGTCCCTTATCATTCAAATTATTTTTCTTTGTGTCATTATTGGCCTTTAATAAGTAATTTTTAAATGTAGAGAATTCATTGTAGACTTGATTGTGTTTTATTGATACAAATATTAGCAGAGACTATATGTTATAATAGTATGTTTTATTTTTTTTAATTTTTAGCACATTATTAAGTTTCACCGTGCATCAAAAGCAAATAAAAAGCCCATGCAGTTGCCAAGATCTATGGTCAAATCATTACTTTACCAGATTCTTGATGGTATCCATTACCTCCATGCAAATTGGGTGCTTCACAGAGATCTGGTAAGTATGTTTCTTTTAAATTGATCAATATGGGTTTTTTTGACCTCTTTTTAAAAATACCTTTTCTTCTTGGTACAATTATTATGAACATTGATTATAGAAAATTTTGAAAATACATAAAACCAAAAAAGAAGAAAATAAAAATCACCCATAAGCCTACGCTTAAAAGAGTACCCTTATTAACATTTGGTATATGTTCTTTCATTATATTTATGCATAGCTATAAAATGTGTGGTTTTCAATGCATAATTGGTATAATCTTAATGGAATAGTCACATGTAAAATAAGTACCTTTCAGTCCATTTTGTTCTTCACATTATTGCTCATTTTCAGTAAAAATATTAATAATTAAAGATTGAGTTCTTACTGTTTTTTTCCCTTAAGAGCTAAATGGAAATAATGACCCTGCATCCAGTAAATAGAACGTTGTCAGTATTATCAATAAAGGTTGTTATCAGTATTATGAACAAATCAAATGTTTGATTTTACCTTTTTTTCAGTACACATGTAACAAACATTTGTTAATGTCAGATTCTATGCCAGTTATCTTTGCATTGTTGTTAGTTTATGTTGATGAGATTTTTTTTGTTTATTTGTAAGAAAATATGGGTACTGAATAGTTGTAATAATCATGAGTTTAAAATTGGAAGTTTTGTTCCTAACTCTCCTTGAAAAAATGGTTTCAAGATCATTATTTCTTAGGCTTTTGGAGATTCTAGGGATATGGTAGGGATGAATGTAGGTCAACTCAGTTTTACTAATTGAGGAAAAGTATTTATTATAGAAAGGAATGAATACACAAGAAGATCTAGTTAGTACCTGTGGCTACATTGTCAGGCCTTGTCTTCTGACTTGACCATCTCTTGCTGTGGCATTGAAAATAAATTGGAGCCAAATGCCAGTGACCACAAAGATGGGTTTACCATTTCAACAGATGCATTTCACCTCATAATTTTGAACTGTAAAGTTCTCAAAGACTTCCACCTATCCACTTTACTATTAACCATGAATCAGCACATTTTTCTGTGGTTACATGAGGTTGTTCTAGATCAAACCCTCTCCTTCATTAATTTTTTATGTAATTAACATAAGCTATGTGAGTTATTTTTGAGGTCATGTACACGTTTGAATCATCGATCAAAATCTTTTATTGAAGACTGACTAATTTCAACTCTTCTCTTTTTTCACAACACTGTGTATTTTATTCTCAATAGCATAGATTCACAGATTTTATTTCTAATGTTGTCGCCTGAGTGTCCACTGGGACTAAAACTCAGGATGACTAGGACCTGGTTTTCTCTTTGTTGGCTTGCTGCTGCTTTAATGTCTATATTAGTTATGGCATCACCCTTTTCTCAGCCTAGAAGGTTCTTTTACCCCTTGCAAACCCTTGCACTGTACATCTAGGCCTTGCCTGGTCTTGTCAGTTTCATCTCTAAGCTCTCTCTTCCATCTGTCTATTTCCATCTCTAGTGCCTCATTCCTAGTTCAGGCCTTTATTATCTCTTTCTTGCGGTATGGTACTAGCCTCTTAACTTGTCTCCTTGCAAACAATCTCTTTCCCTTCCATCCACTGTAGACCTTCTGGATAATTACACAGCTCCTGATCAAGAACTTTGAAATAGTTCCTCATTGCGTACAGACTAAAGCTCTAGTTCCTTATTGGGCTTTCAAGGTCATAGCAGATATAGCTCCAACTCTCTTTAGAATTTTTCTTTATCCCAAGCCTATAATCTTTCACTTACACTATACCATTAAACTATTGATTGTCCCCTGTGTCATCCTGAGATTTCCTGCCTCAATGACCTTTATTTATTACCCCATCTGTACATATTCAAATACTACCTGTCTGTGAGGACTTGCACAAATGTTAAAACTTATCCTCGTATCCATTCCTACTTGGAAATAAGATCTCCTTTTTTTTTTTTTTTTTTAAATGTTTATTTATTTTTGAGAGCGAGAGAGACAGAGTGTGAATTGGGCAAGGGCAGAGAGAGAGAGGGAGGCACAGAATCCAAAGCAGCCTCCAAGCTCTGGACACGGAACCCAATGTGGGGCTTGAACTCACAAACTGTGAGATCATGACCTGAGGCGAAGTCGGACGCTTAACCGACTGAGCCACCCAGGCGCCCCAATAATCTCTCCTTCTTGTTGGTTGCCGTGGTACTTCTTTACTTCTCTTACGGCACTTATCTGTTAGTATTATAGTGGCTGTCTTAGATCATCTTCTAGACCATACACTTCTTGAGAGAGGAGGGTCTACGAATCCTTTTGGCACACTAGCAGTACTCGAGTACACAACAGGTACTGAGTAAATACTTCCTCAGTGAATTAATATGAGTAAGAATAGATTCTTACCGTATGCTTCTGGATCAAGTAACATATTTATATTTCAACACACTGTCCTCAATAAACATTTATTATTACCTTGTGTGTTTAAAGCAAGGATATATGGGGACAGTACACATACGATTGCATTAAAGACCTTCTCCGGAGTTTACTCTCAGAGAAGAAACACGACATACGCATAAACAGTTGTGCTGTAAGATAGGTGAGAAAGATGGTGATCATGGCTACGTGATAGGCACAGATTAAATGCTACTCAAGCTTAGAAGAGGTTATGAGGAGGGGATGAGGGAAAGTTTCAAGAGAGCTGTCACTTGAGCTAGACGTTGAAGTAGGAATCTACCCTGTGAGAGCCTACTCAGTTCTTTTCGCTGATCATGAGTACTGATAGCTGGACCACATTGCCATGGTTTTGCCAAAGTATTTTCAGGAGTAGAAGATTTAAACTGTGTGTTTACTTGAGATAGATTCTCTAGTAAGTATAGAAATACAAAGCGTATCACATATGAATGTGGTGTTGAAAGCATGATGGGGACATGCAAAAAATTATTTTTTGTGCAATAGAGTTGCAGTTTCAGTCGGTGAGTGGTTTTTCTTAATGCTTCGTTTCCCATTGACATAGTGCTTTACACTATTTGTTAGTCACAATTATTTCAGAGTATATACTGTCTCTGCAAGATCCAGAGTTAAAGGTGTTAGAGTAAATGTGAATTTGCAATGTAATAATACAACCCCCCAAATTTAAAAAGTAAATAAAAAATCAGTGTTTTGGACTTTACAAAAGAAGCATTATATCATCAAAGAAGGTTGGGGTTTTTCTTTTAAAAAAAATTTTTTTTGACGTTTATTTTTGAGACAGAGAGAGACAGAGCATGAACGGGGGAGGGGCAGAGAGAGAGGGAGACACAGAATCGGAAACAGGCTCCAGGCTCTGAGCCATCAGCCCAGAGCCTGACGCGGGGCTCGAACTCACGGGCTGCGAGATCGTGACCTGAGCTGAAGTCGGACGCTTAACCAACTGAGCCACCCAGGCGCCCCAAGGTTGGGGTTTTCATCGTGATTGATTATATATCTGTAATAGTAGTTAGCTATATCATATGGATCCTAAAATTTACCAGAAGTAGAGAATTTAAACAAAGTCACTAAAAATATTACTTACATTGAGGAATTGCTTTAAAAAGAAAGGAGAAGAGGAGCTAAATATATTTATCTTGGCTGAGACAATGAAGTAGAGACATAAGTCTATAAATATTTGGAACTTGTAAACACCAAGGGAAAAAAGATGTATTTTAATTTTATAGCAGGATATAGCTAAGAGTAAGAAGATGAAATATAGGATGACTCACTTTTATGAGATTACTGTTCGGGTAGGTTGGAAGGATGCCAAGATAAATAGTTGATCCTGTTTTCAAAATTATGAGCTCCTGGGGAGTAAGGATCATATCTTACTAATTTTTGTATTCCTAGTGTTGGCATATTGTTTGTGCTCATAAGTTACTTGAATTTCAGCAAGGCATCTGGCAATTGCACGTTATTCTTTAGCAAAGAGAAATAGTGGCTAAATGGTTGTATTGTTAAGTAGATTTACGGCTTCTTGGTTATGAGTTTTGCTACTGGATCAGTGGCATAAACTGAACTGTGCGTTAAACCATCTCTTCATCACTTTATCATATCTCAGTACCTAAAACATGATAAATGCTAGGTCTTTATCAAATGAAAGATCTGAGTAAATGCTCTAGGGCCCTGACTTGCTCTGACTTTTAAAAAATATTTGTGGTGGTTCCAAACCAAAACTCTAACTTTAGTTTTGAATGGTAATTATTGTTCATAATAGTGGGTGAATTTGTACTCTTTTAAAGTCTATGAGCACAGATAACTATATCTTTTTTTTTTTTTTAATTTTTTTTTTTTCAACGTTTATTTATTTTTGGGACAGAGAGAGACAGAGCATGAACGGGCGAGGGGCACAGATAGAGGGAGACACAGAATCGGAAACAGGCTCCAGGCTCCGAGCCATCAGCCCAGAGCCCGAC